AAAAAAAAAAAAAAAAAACAAGTCTCAGCAAATCTGAGAGATTCTAAGCTATTTAGAGAGAACCTGTCTCAAAATAAAAAATGGGGGGATGGGGATAGGGATGTATCTCAGTGGTTAAGCACCACTGGGTTCGATCCCCAGTACCAAAAAAAAAAAAAAAAAAAAATTGAGGCTGCCTCTCTGCATCAAAGTAACCTCAGATTCTTCTAGTAAGACTAGAATATTCTGTTTTGTTTGTTTCTTTGGTTTTCGGTGTTGTTTTTATTTGTGTGTGTATATGTGTGTGTGTGTGTGTGTATGTTTACCAAGGATTAAAACCAGGGGCTCTGAACCACCAGGCCACATCCCCAGCCCCTTTTATTTTTTATTTTGAGACCAGGTCTTGCAGAGTTGCTTAGGGCTTAGCTAAATTGCTAAGGCTGGCTTTGAGCAATCCTCCTGCCTCAGCCTCCAGAGCCAATTCTATTATACTGCACTGACCCAGAATTCCGTTTTTACTAATATATCAAAGAGCAATTTTTTCTGAAAATCTAAAATTTTAGAGAATAAGATCCTTCAGCACTAAGTCCTTTTGTCAACTAACAAAAATAGCTTTGCAGGGTTGAGGCTGTAGCTCAGTGGTAAAGTGCTTATCTCCCATTTGTGAGGCACTGGGTTCAATCCTCAGCCCCACATAAAAATAAAGATAATGTGTGTTCATCTACAACTAAATAAATATTTTTTAAAAAATAGCCTTCCCAGGTTTGCCCTCATCAAGGTGAGATTAGCTCCTTGGTACAGATAAGGAAACTAGAGATTATGGGTACTTGTCCAATGTCATACAGCTGTTAAGAGGCAGAGTCCAGCAGACAAGGTGGCACACGCCTGTAATCCCAGAGGCATGGGAGGCTGAGACAGAAGGATCACAGGTTCAAAAGGGTCCCAGCAACTTCTAGGTGCTAAGCAACTCAGTGAGACCCTGTCTCTAAATAAAATACAAAATAGGGCTGGGGATATGATTCAGTGATCGAGTGTCCCTGAGTTCAATCCCTGGTATGAGGGGAAAAAAAAAAAAAGAGGCAGAATCCATATTCGTCTGTACCCTGTGGTCCTAAACTATATATTCAATAGATTTGCATACACATGTTCCAAAACCCAGGAATACTTTATAGCAGCATCTTTAGGACTAAGCAGTATTTATCAATTCTTAATTTTTATTAAATTATAGCTGATATGCAACAGAATGCAGATATGAAGTGTTTCGTTCAATGAATTTTGACACCTGTGTACACTCATGTTAAGTACCAGTCAAATTAAGATAGAGAACATTTTCATCACCACCCAGAAAATGTCTTCAATTGATGCTCCTTTCCAATCAATTATCCTCATCTCCAGATATTACTTTCTGATATTTTCTATCACTACCAATTAGTTTTGCCTATTCTTGGGTTTTGTACCTTCTGTAGTTTGTAGTGTTTGGCTTATTTCAATTAATAGAATGTTCTTGAGATTTATACATAATGTTAAATGTATCAAGTTTGGTGTTTTTTTATTGATGAGAAAAATCTCAGCATGTAAGTGTGCTACAGTTTAATTATCTATCCTTTTATTAATGGACATTTGGATTGCTTTCAGTTTGTGGCTATTATGAAAGAGTCCATAGAAACATTTATTTTTACTAAGTCCAAGCTGGAAACAACTAGAATATCCATCAACAGTAGGATGAATAAATTGTAGTATTATTGAGTATAAAAATAAATGCCCTAGTGCAGGTAAACAACCTGAGTGAACTTTCCCAAACAACATTTAGCTAAAGAAGGCAAAGGATAATCTGTCTCATTCCATTTTTTAAATTAATCTCAAAACTGGAAAAATGGAGCTGTTATTTAAAAACCAGAATAATACAGCCTGGCCTGGTAGCACACACCTGTAATTCCAGCTACTCCAGAAGTAGAGGCAGGAGAACCACAAGTTCAAGGCCAACCTCTGAAGCTTAGCAAAAATCTGTCTCAAAACTTGGGAAAAAATAAAGAAGATAAATAAATAATAAGAAGGGCTGAGGATGTAGCTTAGTGGTAAAGCATCCTTGAGTTTAATCCCTAACACAAGGAAAAAGTCAGAAAAATACAGTTTTGAGGAAGAAGAGAGAGCAACTAGGAATGGGTACATAGAATGAACCTATAGGATATATCTTTTTTTAATATTTACTTTTTAGTTTTAGGTGAACACAATATCTTTATTTTACATTTATGTGGTTCTGAGGATTGAACCCTGTGCTTTATGCATGCTATGGTGAGCACTCTACCACTGAGCCACAATCCCAGCCCCTCTTTTTTTTTTTTTTTTTTTTTTTGAGACTGTTTTCTTTGAGGGCTGGGGTTGTGATTCAGTGATAGAGCACTTGCCTAGCACATGTGAGGCACTGGGTTTGATTCTCAGCACCGCATATAAATAAAATAAAGGTCCATCGACAACTAAAAAAAATTTTTTTTAAAGAATGTTTTCTTTTTCTACCTTTATCTTGTTCATTTATTTGTGTGGTGTGGGGGAGCAAACCCAGTGTTTCACATGTGCTAGGCAAGTGCTCTACCACTGAGCTGCAACCTCAGCCCAGGATAATATTTCTTATTCAGGATAGTGATTATACTGGTGTGCTTACTCTGTGAAAATTCATCAAGTCCTATATTTGTGATGTGTGCCCCCTTCTGTATGTGTGCTATACTTCAGTAAAAAATTTCATATTTTAAAGATGAAGTGTCATTATCACCAATATGGTAAGCTTCTTGGAGAATGGTAGGGAAGGGTCAATGAAGAAATTAATTTAGGTTGCAAATAAGACTGCATAGAAATTAGTACTTATTGTACAATGCTTATAGTATGCAAAAAGGTCCGGTCACTTGGGAAAGCAGGTTGACAGCCTCTTTTTAAGCTCAATATACATTTACCAGACAACCCAGCAATCCCACTCCTAGTTATTTACCCAGGAAGAATGAAAACATGTGTCTCCAAAAAACCTGTATGCAAATGTTGAAGGTAGGTTTACTCATAATAACGCAAAACTAGAAACAGATTGAGTGTCCATCAACTGCTGAATAAACAAGTTGTGGTACATTTGCATGGTGAAAACTATTCAACTATAAAAAGAAACTATTAAAACATGCAATAAATTACTGAGGCATGCAACAATATGAACTACAAGCATATACTAAGTGAATGAAGTCATTCACAGAAGGCTACATACGGTATGATTCCATATATATGACATTCTGGGAAAGGAAAAGCTATAGGAATAGAAATTAGACTAACAGTTGCCAGGGACTGGAGTGAGAAGAAAATTGATTACCAAGGGGCACAAGGGAACAATTGGGGATGGCAGAATGTTCCATATTTTGATTGTGGTGATGATTATACAATCATCAAAAACTCAATTATCTGTTCCTAAAATGGATACATTTTATATCCCAGGTTTGGTTTGCTTTTGCAGTGCTTGGATTGAACCCAGGGTCTCAGCATGGTTATGCAAGTGCTCTACCACTAAGCCACATTCCCAACCCCAGTATGCCGGTTTATATTAATAAACTTAAAAAAAAATAGCACTCTAGGAATCAGTACAATAAAGTGACATGCATGAGATGGGTAATATGGAGTTGTAAAAGAGGCATAAAACTTGTGTTGTGTGAATGTTCTGGTGGCCTAAAAGCAATCTTGGAATAAAATGACCTTGTAAAGCAAAAAACCAAATGAACACACATTCATTCTAATTTATCCCTCTATCACCTCCCATCTCAAGAAACAGAAAATGTTGCTTCTATAGAAGTCACGGATAACAATAGTTTACAAAATCAAGTGCCTACTATGTGCCAAGCATTATCCTAAAAGCCTCTGCATGTGTTATTTAATCCTTAAAACAACCCTAAGAGTAAATGGGGACAGGATTTCAATGCTGGGCAATCTGATTTTAGGGCACACGCAATCTACTTTTCAAGCATGGTTGATACTGCATTGCAGAGAGATTCCCATTCATTGTGGGCAGAGTAATCACTATTCCAGTAATTGCTGTGGAACGTGAATTACTTTCCTCAAAAAGGTAATTTCATTGCTGCCTTCAAAATCCAGGTGTTCAGGCTGGATGTAGCTCAGTTGGTAGAGTGCTTGCCTTGCATGCACAAGGCCCTGGGTTCAATCCCCAGCACCACCAAAAAAAAAAAAAAAATCAAAGGTCAATGTGGCAGCCCAGCCACAAAGATGCATATTAATGATTCTTGCCTCCTTGAATGAACACATCTAGGTGATCCCTTCCCACATTGAATAGTATTAGTAATTTTACCTCTAAAACCAATAAAATTTTTGCAGAAATGATATGTGATGTCTGAAGATAGGACATAAAAGACATTACAGCTTCTGTCTTGCTTTCTTGGATGTGATTTTGTTCCAAAAGCTACTCCCTGGGATGCAGATTGTTTTTGATAAGAAGGTAACAATAGCTTCCATCCCACTACTACTTTGTTACCCTGATATCAAGTGAAAGGATCTTTGTGTCCTCTCCTTAAGTCTAGGTAGGCTTCTCACTGCTTCAACCAACAGAGTATGGTGGAAGTGAGGTTATGTGATCCTTGAGGACAGGTCAGATGTAATGCAGCTTCAACTTTGTTCACTGGGACCCTTGTGCTTGGGCGTTACTTCTTGGCAACACCTAAGAGGTCTGATTACCTTGGTGGGAAAGGCTAAACTATATGGAGAGGTCACATAAGTGCTCTCTAGTCAGCACTAGACTTTCACTCATCCCAAGCACTAAACTTAGTTTCAAAAAGTAAACAAGCCTTCAGAGGGAATTCTAGCCCTGTTCATGTGTCCCTCAGCTTTTGTTTTTGGTGCCAGGGATTGAAGACAGGGGCATTTAACCACTGAGTAACATCCCCAGCCCCCCCCCACTTTTTTTTTTTTTTTTTTTTTTTTTGAGACAGGGTCTCACTAAATTGCTTAGGGCTTGTTAAGTTGCTGATGCTGTCTTTGAACTTGCCACCCTCCTGCCTCAGCCACTGGAATTATAGGCCTACACCACTTGCCTGTGTCCCTCATTTTCTTAATCTTCCAAGCTCAGAACCCAATTTTGTGGAATAGATAAGATCACAACAGTGCCCTGACCAGTTTTTTTGACTAAACAGGGTTTGTAGGCATGTTAAGATTGTTGTTCGAAGTCATTATTGGGGATAATTTGTTCTGCCGTGATATTAACCAGCACAGTCTGTGACTCCTAACAGTTCTTGCCTTCCAAACAATGGTCTCTCCTCCAAGGCACTTGAGCTGGCCATCAGATGAAAATGCATAGACTACAGGTAACATATGGTCGTCTTTGTTTTTAAATGGTGCTGGAGGTCAAATCCAGGGCTTTGTGCATGCTAGGTAAGTACTCTACCTGAGCCACATCCTCAGCCCGACATATGATCTTTTTTTTTTTTTTTAAAGAGAGAGTGAGAGAGGAGAGAGAGAGAGAGAGAGAGAGAGAGAATTTTTTTTTTAAAAATATTTATTTCTTAGTTCTCGGCGGACACAACATGTTTCTTGGTATGTGGTGCTGAGGATCGAACCCGGGCTGCACGCATGCCAGGAGAGCGTGCTACCGCTTGAGCCACATCCCCAGCCCCCCGACATATGATCTTAAACTGAAGAGGATTAAGTCAAAGCCTGCTAAATTACTCTTGAGGGTTTAGAGTGGTTGAAGGCCTTTCCAAAGGACTAGATGATATCTTGTTTATTATGCCATATTCTCCACCTTCAGTAGTTTTTAAGATTGAGTAAATGGTTAAATTATTTCACATACAATGATTTTCAATCTATTTAGAGAAAACAAATTATACATTTGTAGAGATAACCAAAGTGTGACAGTGACAATGCTTGAAAAGTGCTTCTAATATAAAGACATATTAACACTAGAGCTTCAAACTGATACATTCTTTTGAGATGGCAACTCAAAAAGCTTTGACTTGTGCCTTATGAAAATTTATCCTGAGCTATATTTTGGATAATAATGATAAATGTTAAAATCAAGGAACAATGGTGTGATGTTGTCCAATTTTCCACTTGAGTAAAATCCCTGAGGACAATAACTTCGTTGGGGGGCTGGGGATATGGCTCAAGTGGTAGTGCGCTCACCTGGCATGCGTGCGGCACGGGTTCGATCCTCAGCACCACATACAAACAAAGATGTTGTGTCCGCCGATAACTAAAAAATAAATATTGAAATTCTCTCTATCTCTCTCTCTCTCTAAAAAAAAAATAAAGATATTGTGTCCTTCTACAACTAAAATTGTTTATTTAAAAAAAAATAAAATAACTTCGTTGGTTTTGCTACTGCTACTCTTGTTGCCTTGCATAGCGTAATGCAAGCACTTAAGCTATATAAATGAAATCACAGAAGAGAATGATTTTATCATCTGATGGATATTAAATTCCCTATTAGTCTACAAGCAAGACATTCTGTTTTCAGGGTTGAAGGGGATAATGGGATATGTCTACTGGTGAACTGGCAAAAAATAAACTCAAGGGCCAAGGATTTAAAAAAGAAGAGGAGGAGAAAGAAGAAAAAAGGAGAAAAGGGAAGAAAAAGGGAAGGAGGAGGAGGAGAAGAGGAGAAGGAGGAAGAAAAAGGGGAAGAAGATGAGAGGAAGAGAAACAAAAACTAATAATTGTATACTTGAGTCAATATGAATTTTTATTAACACACATTTGTCAAAGTCTGTACAAACCAAAACATTCCTGTGTTTTAAAATGTCCATTATTACAAACATACAAAGAAACAAAAGGTGTTACCAAAAGTTAGCTACTCAATTTCATGGCAAAACAGTGTCATGATTTTTAAAAATTAAAATTTCAAGACTAAGGATTCTTCTTTCCCTTTTAAGAACTTATGGAAAGTTAGAAAATGTGTGGGTTTGCTTTATATTAAATGCCAAGACCTTAAAAAAAGATTTAGTATAAAACTAAATGTTTTTATATTATCATACTTCAGATAACAGAGTTTCTCAGTCTTTAAAATTTAAAAAAAAAAACATGACTGTCATTTTTCTCAATCTTTTCCCCATAGCCAATGCAAATGCATCTAAAAAATATTATCTGACAGTTTACCTAAAAGCTTCTCATTCAAAAAGTTACAAAACTATTTAGCACTGCTGTTCCCCTTGCTTAGAAGGGAAAATTACATCCCCTACCAGGGCGATATCTAAGCCACATGGTCCACTGTATCTCTTAGCAGAAGGAAGCCACCCTTTCCACATCTCTGTCCAATTATGTGCATGGCTCCACTTGTGAGAATGCTATCACAGATTATAGAACATCTGCTTTTAACAAGCTAAATTTACTGCTACAATTTTGGTAGACTGAGACTACAAATGTCATCTGCCCTCATCATTACCTTTAACTCTAGTACCCCCCCTGCTTTAATAATTCCAGGGTAGTTGATTTTGTTACTTCACAGCACATACTATACACATCCCCAACTTCTTTAAAAAGACCACATAGAGTACCTGAGAGTACAGCTAGAAATACATGTCTATCCCTTTCCTGGAAAAGTGAATCCATGTGCCTATTGGGATAAGAAGGGAAGACAGGCCACACATATCTCTGGCTGACGCCAAACTGCTTCTGAGAAGCACATGTATTCAATACCTTTCCATTAAAAGCAGGGAGAATACAGGCTGGGGTGGGTGAAGAGAAATAGGAAGAAAGTACAATGATATTATTTCTCCCATTTGGACTAATAGTCCATACTTGAGCAGTTTGTACTGATCCCAGAGTGTCCTACAGTTGAACCATTTTGAATCTGCTCCTGTTTAAAAAAAAGAAAAATGTTTTCTGACAATAATAGCCCAGTATAACAACTTATATAGGCAAAGGGTATTTAAAAAAAAAAAAAAAAGAAGTGGCAGTATGAGAATTTAAAATCAATTACCTAAGAATAAAGGAAGTGGGGGAGGGAAATGTCCAGTACAACCTGGACAACCTTTCTTTCTGCCCTTACTTAAAAAGACAGACTGTTCAAAATCTTTGCAACCTCCCTTAAGTATCTCCTTAAATGATCTTCCAAGAAATCCTCTAAAAGGCACTTAACTCCATACGTATATATTGAAATTATTTCACCTTAGTAATCGGTTTTTAAGACTCTAAAGTTAACAAGAAAGAAAAGATCTGATGCATTTTCTAAAAGCTAGAGAATAGGACTTTTTTTCCCCCCAAGAGGCATCGCTTTTACAAGAACAACTAGCTAGGCTACCATTATTCTTTTATCAAGAAAAAGTTTCTTTTTTTAAAAAATAAATAAAACTCTGGCTATACATAGTACAAAGTTCATACATAATATACCTGGAAAAAAACCCAAGAGTATACCCTGAAGCAAAAGATTTATTGGAGAGAGAAAGCCTCTCTCATTGTACCAAGTCTTAAGGTGGCAGTTTTTAAAGTTAGAGGGTGGCAGTGATATACAATTAATGCCAAACTATTTGCTCATGGGTATGGCAGGATGCAAGGATGGACATAAAAAATCATTCTGCACATAACACTGAGCAGTGACCACCACAAAAGAACAAAGAGTAGAACCAAAATACATAGAGAAAGAGGAAAGGGAAGAAAGGGATAGAAGGAAAAAAAGGGAAGGGAGAGAAGAAAAGAGGAAGAGATGGTAGAAGAGGAAGAAAAGCATAGAAGGAGTAGTGAGAGAGAAAGAGAAGGAGATTGAACCTGAAATCCCAAACACTCAAGCATGCAGTCATAACACAGCACAAACTAGATGTTTCCATTCAGCTCACTGCAATCACACAAAGAAGGATAACTGTAATAAAATAGAGATTCTTAAGAAAGTTTGCAATTCCCAGAGAACAGCCAGGTCTCCAACCCTAACCCAGGATGACCCCATCTGCTGTTGCTGAAGAGCCTCCTGCAGTCTGTCATGGAGAGGTAATAGCTCCTGACTTTTCCGACTTCTTGCTCTTGGACAAGGCAGCTGCCTGTTTTAGGAGTTCTCGATTTTTGGCCTATAAATTAAATAAACAAATAAATCAGTGTGAGGGGATGTTTGCCCAGGAAAGAATATGTTTTCCATGCAGAGTAAGTTTAATAGACAATAATAATTAATAATGGGATAAGTTTTCCAAGCAGATGTGAAGGCAGATAATGTAGAGGGTCAGGAAGAGATGAACCATTCTAGAGGTAAAAACAAATAATAGAAAACTCTAGGGCTTGAGATTTGGTTTAAGGAAAAAAGTATTTGCTAATCTCTTGGCATCCACTATTACAAAAGGATGCTCCATGTAATACAAACTATGGAGTGCCTTAATGAGCAAGTTAAACAGAATCCATAATTCAGACACCTGGAATCACATCTGGCACATTCCAAAATCAAGGAACCATTTACAAACTTTCTGAGAGGAAAAGATCAGAACATATTCAAGAGTAAAACAAAAAGATATCCAAAAGGGAGACTAATGTAATGTCAATACTTAAGAAAAAAAAAAAAATCTAAGAGAAAATGAATTAAAATACACTCAGCCAAGTATTCTAGTTACCACATAATAAGCAGTCACCTGCAATTGTTCTGTGACTTCTTTGTGCGTTTTCTCCATTTGGTTCATTTTTGCCCTCATCTGAGATTCCTGGTACTGAAAATCAGCCTTCAACTCGGTAATCTGAAGGAAAAAAGGCAGAGTGACCATAATAAATTTCTATGTAATGAGAACTGTTTTGGTATCAGACAGCTAAGTGGTCCAACAAATTAACAAATCCAGGGCTGTCCTGCAGATCCATACCTATTGTCAAAGCCAGGGAGTATCCTACTTTTTTCTAAAGCTTCCCTGAAAATTATAAAAAATCCTGGAACTAACATTTATTTTCTTTCTTTTTTAAGAGACAGATTTCTCACTGTTCCTCAGGATGTCCCTTAAGTGAGATAAAATGATCTTCCTGCCTCAGTCTCCTGAATGCTGCAACTATAGGTATGTGTCACCGTGCCCTGTTTTGAATTAGTATTTCTGTTAATTAACCACTAGCAGGTTTTAAAGATTTCATGTTTTGCCCCTCTCTGCTGGGGAATGAACCCAGGGCTTCATGCATGCTAGACAGTGCTATATCACTGAGCTATATCCCCAGCCCTTTTTATTTTGAAATGTTATTCAAGGAGCACAAAGAAGGGACATGTAAGTCAGAAAGATTATTTTGAGTTTAAGAGGCACAGGAGCAACAGGCACATAAATTAAGAATGATATCTAAGCAAAGGCAATGGTGTGGACATAGGCAGAGAGATGTGAGATAATTGAGAGATTATTTGAATGAATGATAACTTGGAGAGTGGCAGGAGAGGAGGCTAAAGAAAGGCAGGCAGGCCAGGCATGGTGGTGCTTGCCCATAATCCCAGGGACTTGGAGGCTAAGGCAGGAAGACTGCAAGTTAAGGCTAGCCTTAGCAACTCAAAAAGACCCTCTGCCAAATAAAAAATAAAAAGGGCTGGGGATGTGACTCAGTGGTTAAATGAACCCTGGGCTTAATCCCCGACCAATAAAAAGGCAGGCATGATGCAGAACAGGTTGTCCCAAGCCAGGGAATGGGTCCTTAATCCTGAAATCTATATGAAACAGTCTATTTGTTTTTTTTTTTTTTTTTTTTTTTTTGAGAGAGGAGAGAGAGAGAGAGAGAGAGAGAGAGAGAGAGAGAGAGAGAATTTTTTATTATTTATTTATAGTTATTGGCGGACACAACATCTTTGTTGGTATGTGGTGCTGAGGATCGAACCCGGGTCGCAGCATGCTGAGCCACATCCCCAGCCCAGTCTATTTGTTTTTGCTCCTTTCAAAACTCCAATTCTGCAAAGCAGTAAAAACAAGTGTTTTTATTTTGTCTGTTTTGCAAATGTTCTGTTATGTGCCATTCTGATCTGGTCCATGACGAGAATATACTTGGGTCTACTTTCATCTGTCAGTCACATTGTAAAGTTGAAAGAATATGGGTGTCCCCCCATGAATCCACCTGGCAGGATGGTGCCTTCTCTACTGGCAGGATATAGCCCAACACAGTAGAAAGTACAAGAAAGTCAGAATGGGTAATAAATTCATAACCTTGTTCTGCCATTTACTAGCTGTGTGATGATGCACTATTTACCCTCTTTAGGTCTGTCTCCTCATCTATAAAATGAGATAGAAATCAGATGAAAATAATGCATGCAGTGGTGCATGCCTATAGTTTCAGTACTTGGGAGGCAGGAGAATTACTTAAGCCCAGGAATTCAAGGCCAGTCTGGGCAACAAAGTCAGACTTCATCTCAAAAAAAAAAAAAAAAAAAGGAAAAGCAAAAGATAATTTAATATTGTAAATGTCTGTGAGTCACTTAGAATGAATCACAGCATTCTGAATGTGGTATAAGACAACATATAGCCATGGAGGGAGGAACAGACATAGGGAGGTAACTGGAGCCCTAAAAGAAAAACAGCAGAGATATTCTTCACCTATAAAATTATGATAATAGGGGCTGAGGTTGTGGCTTAGTGGTAGAGCACTTGCTTTGCACACGTGAGGCACTGGGTTCAATCCTCAGCACTACATAAAAATAAATGAACAAAATAAAGGTATTGTGTCCATCTACAATATATATATATATATATATATATATATATATATATATATATATGAAATTATGATAATAATTTTTGCCTCAAAAACTTGTTATATGGGTAGTTAATACATAAAGGCATTTAGAGTAGAACTAGTCAGCAATAAAAGTTTTTGTTATGAAGGCAAAAATGAGATACTCTTAGCCAGGTACAAAGGCACATGCCTATAATCCCAGCAACTCAGGAGGCCGAGGCAGGAGAAATGCAAGTTCAAGGCCAGCCTGKGCAACTTATGGAGACCATGTCTCAAAATATAAAAAGGGCTGGGTATGTAGTTCAGTGGTAGAGCTCTTGCCTATCATGCATGAGGCCCTGGTTTGATTCCTTAGTACTCCTGCCCCAACCCCACAAAATGAGATACTAAGAACCCAGAAATAAAATAATAATAAACAACAAATTAGAACAAGAACGTCAAAAGCTCCCCTCCATCTAAGAGAGAGGGAGATGGTGCACGCATGTAATCCCAGTGACTCAGGAGGCTGAGGCAAAAGAATTGCAAGTTCAAGATCAGCCTCAGCAACTTAGCAAGACCCTGTCTCAAAATAAAAAATATAAGGGCTCAAAATGTAGCTCAGTGTAAAGTACCCCTGGGTTCAATCTCCAGTATCAAGGGGGGTGGGGGGAAGAAGCAGATGACTCTTAGACCAAAATAAAACTGGTCTCATTCTAAAGATATTAATGTAAATATACTAGAAATATAAGAATATAGAAAATATTCTAATGTGCAGATAGAATGTTAACACTTAAAATATTAATAAGGTATTTATGTATTTATAGTGGGTCACTTAGTAAAGGAGCTGCAGCAATGACACAAAGCAAGTGATGCAAGAGTCATGGAGAGGGGCTCACCTGAACACTGTCCAGGGAGTGGGGAGCCTTGGCCTCATACTCTGAGTATTACTGGACCATGGATACAGCCATCCCCATAACAGAAATGGAGACAACAGATTCTTTTAGCCTGACAGCATTAAACATTCCAATTACATAAACACTATTTCTTATTCCAACTCCATGCTTATTCAGCATCTTCTGACTACAATCATCCAAGGTAGTTCATGCTGAGAATAATAGTATGCTATTGTATGTCCCACTGTGAATTAAGAAGTAGACACTGTGGTTTTATACATCATCTCCTTTATCTTGGTTAACAAATGTCCTGCCTAAAAAGTAGAACTCCCTTTTTTCTTTAAAATATATTTTTAAAATATTTTGTTTTAGTTGTAGTTGGGCACAATACCTTTATTTTTATGTGGTTCTGAGAATCGAACCCAGGGCCTCACACATGCTACTCTACCACTGAGCCACAACCCCAGCCATGGAACTCCCTTCTTAATGCTAAGAAAAATCAGCTTTTTGAACCCACTGGGCTAAGGTAATTAACCTAGGTAATGTCATCCCATGAGTAACCACAAATGGTTAGCCTCTCCCTAGGACATCCCACCTTGCCATGGGATCTCTCTAAAAGCATCAATAGTAAATTACTCAAAAAATTTCAAATAGAGTTATCATCATGTCCCATACCCTTGCATCATTCTGGTCTGAAAAGTGTTAACTAACCATACCTTTTTTTCTTTCTCTAAGATCATTTGATCCTTTTGATGCAACATCTTCTTCAGAGTAGCTACCTCTTCTTTCAGCTGAGCAATGATGACAAAGTGGTCAGTGCCTGGTGAATCCAGAGCCAGGTCTGGGGAAAAGCTGAATAGAAAAACGGAGGGGGAAAAATCATAACTTGGATGGATATATACTTTTCTCTACCTCAGGATGCATCCTAGGCCACTTGACTATGAACTCCTCAAGGGCAGGAGTAACTATTTGAATTCCTAGTATTGAGGACATTGCTTCATACACACCAAACTCAAGAGCATTTGCTGAACTGGAACTACACAGGTTAGGTGATCATCAGAATGACACCAACTCAAACCATAACACAGTGGCATCCTGTAGCATTTTCTCTCAAATTCAGGATTAAAGTAAACGCTATATTCTAAGAGCCTCAGATACTACTTCAGGTTCACTAAAGGTCCCCAAGATGTACCTCGGAAAGAGCTATAATATCTGTGATTAGAAAACGTCCCTAGAATTCTGGATAGATGATAGATTATAAGTGCATATATTATGAGGAGATGTGGCTTCTGAGAAGATGCTGCATTTCATACCAGTTCTTTTTGTGAAAAACTAATAGGAAGGGGTTGGACATGGTACTACATGGCTATAATCCCAAAACTGGGGAGACTGAGGCAGGAGAATTACAAATTTAATACAAGCCTCAGCAACTTAATGAGTCCCTAAGCAACTTAAAAAGTTCTTGTCTCAAAATAAAAAATACAAAGGGTTGGGGATGTGGCTCCATGATAAAGCATCCCTTGGTTCAAACCACAGTACCAAATAAATAAATAATAACTTAAAAATAAAGTAAAACAAATCAACTTGCTATGACAATAGAGTAAGAATTTGTAGTTCTCTTTGTGGTTGGTTCTTCCTGTTTTTTGTTTTGTTTTGTTTTCAGTGCTGGGGTTCGAACACAGGGAAGGCCTCATGCATGTAAGCAAGTGCTCTCCCACTGAGCTACATCTTCATCTCTTTTTTAAAATTTTATTTTGAGACAGGATCTCACTAAGTTGCCCAGGCTAGCCTTGAACTCTGAGATCCTCCGTTTCAGTCTACTGAATAGCCAGGATTACAGGCATGCACTACTGTACCTAGCTCCTTCTTATATCTTAAATCACATCCCATCTTCTCTACTTGGGAAGAAACTCCAAATAGCAAGCCTGACCACAGCACATACTTCCTCATAGTTACCAAGTCAAACATTTCTATGGTTAGAATTGGAAGACACATTTCATTGATGAGAACACTGTCCTCCACTCTAGTCTACATGAAGCATATAAGAAGAATGTCAGAGGAAGAATGAACAGATTACTTTCACAAACTGATCCTTGTACAGAATTATTGGATAACAAAAAGTAAATGCAAAAGACATATGACAATCTCTACCAGTTTCAGATGTGAAGTATCCTTATATCTGTAGCTTTACATGTATTTCAGTACTACCAAGGACCTGTCTTTTCTCCGCCAACAGTCTATATAAATATACAAATACAGAAATGAATGAAACAGAGTAATGAGCTAGTAGTATAAGTAACTCATCATTGTCCTCAAGGGTCCTAATGCTCTCCTCTGTTTCTTGAGAGAAGATTCTTCTCCTACCAATAAATTGTGACAAAACCAGTTCTGTCTATCCTATGTTAGGGGCCTATCTCTCTGACTCTCTAACTCTTTGTCCAATAAGAACCCCTGGAAATGAAAAAAGAGGATTACATTAGCATGACAGAAAAGCCAGTCTTTTTTCAAATACCTTCAATGACAGGGAGCTCATTACTTCTCCATGAAACTTGTCTCTCCCAAAAGCTGTTAATATAATAATCTTCCTTAAGTTGAACCCAAACCTGCCTCCCTATAACCCTGCACATTGGTCCTCAAATGCCACACAGAAGTCCTATCTTTCAGGAGGGAGAATAAAATGAAATTACAAGGAAAAAAAGGATCTTAAGAAACAATAAGCCACAAGGTCTGCCTTGATGCCACTCACTACCCCAAAACTGCTTTTTAAAAATTTCCTATGGAATAATAAATAAATAAGATCAAAAAGTAGCTGGTACATTTTCTCAAGGAAGGAATGAATGATAATCATTAGCTCAGATTTTCCTTAAATTAAAAAGTTTTGTTACAACTTTAACAAATTAACATAGTGAGGCTGTAATTTTTGAAAAACAGAAAAGACCAAGCCTTATGATTATTAAACTATTATAGAAAGTTAAGATAATGTGTTCTGTCTGTACAATATAGGAGGCTAATGGATAAAGAATAAGAGAAGAAAAAAATATGCCTTGGTACTAAATAAATAGGAGAGAAGAATGTGGCAGTATATAAAGATCATTGAAAAGTTAAGGAGCAAACTTGCAGAAGGCATAAAGAATAAATATTAAAGAGTAAGACATAAATTTAAAAGTATATGAATATTTTAAAGGTGGGGACAGGAAAGTGGTTTGTGATTAATTAAAAAGTGAGAGGAAGGTAAATAATAGACATTTTGACTGATAATACTTGGTACATAGGTATGCATTTAAAATTTTTTAGTCTGTGTGACTTAAAAAAGTCTTAAAAAAACAAAGGACTATTGGAATGCTTCAGGTTTGTTTGTTTGTTTGTGTACTAAGGATTGAACCCAGAGGCATTCTACCACTGAGTTATATCCCTACCTCTTCTTATCTTTTGAAACAGGGTTAAAGTTGGCCTCAAACTTGAGATCCTCCTGCCTCATTCTACTGAGTTACAGGAGTGCACCACTGCACCCAGCTCATAATGCTTTTGTTTTTTTTTTTAAATTTTTTTAGTTGTTGAAGGACCTTTATTTTATTTATTTCTATGCAGTGCTGAGAATCAAACCCAGTGCCTCACACTTGCAAGGCAAGTGCTCTACCACTGAGCCACAATCCCAGCCTCTAAGAATTTACTTTAAAAATAAATTAAAAGCAGCATTTCTCCTGCTTTTAATTTATTTTTAAAAATAAATTAAAAGCAGGAGAAAACCCACAAACTAAACAGAATAGCAAAGTGTAATTTATCCTGTGTTATGAATGGTTTTTTAAAAATACAAATAAGGGGGCTAGGGCTATAGCTCAGCGGCAGAGTGCTTGCCTAGCACTGGATTCAGTCCTTAGCACCACATAAAAAATTATAAGTAAAATAAAAAGGCATTCTGACCATCTACAACTACAAAAAAATTTTTTTAAATACAAATAAGGGGAATAAAATGTTAAGACTAGTAATATAGTATATTCAAATAGAACTTATGTATGTGTAAACATTTTTCCAGATTTCCAATTTTGAGATTAAATTATACTTTAAACAATCAGTATGGTCATCTAAGGAGAAAATGATCTTTCAGTATCTTGTATGGATAAAAGACCTCAAGAATCAGCATCCTACATGAGGAATACAGTCACTGCTGGTGACTGAACTCTGAGATGCAATAAAATAGTCTGAACAGAGAAATGGAGTTTTTAGTTTCGTGTATCCATGGCAATGGACAGCAAAAACAGTGCAATATTTCAAGAACAGAATAAGCTACTAAATGATAAACTTAAAGACTACTTGGTTAAACTAGAGGACATGAAAGAGCTTTATCAAGGTCATTCAATCCAACCTGGGTTATAAATGAGCACAAACAGAAATGAAAACTCTAAAGGTATAGGTCTTTAAAAAGAAAAAGAAAAAAAAAACCTAGAAAAAGAAAAAAATAATAAATACAGGTATAGGTCTTGGCTTGAATGCCTTGCTTCTATATATAGAGGTGAGAGGATCATTTGGGCCTGGGCAATGTAGTGAGACCCTGTGTCCTAAAAAACAAAGAAAACTTCATTCCTTTAAGTAGTTTTTGAAGGGTCATGCACAATGACAGAGATGATAGACTATCTGCCTCACATGCTTTCAGAATGGCCAGGCTGACTGCTCAGAGAATAGAAAAATTGATCACAAAGATGGTCTTCATGGTTCCTTCCCTCATGTAATCTAAACATTTAGTTACATGTTTCCAGAAGGTTTAATTCAAGAAGTTTAACATCAATTAAACTAGTTGTAAAAAGACACTATCTTGGTAGGGTCTGAAATAAATTTAATGAAAAAGACAGTGGGAAAGAGTAAATTTCACAGATGTTTTATACTCTGATGAATAAATTTAGCCCTGGTAAGTGTATTTGAGGGTCTGTTCCCGTATCCACCACTGAATGGGAGGGAGAACTGTGAATGGGTGAAATTTTCAGACTAGAGATGATTCCAAGGACTTAGGGACTGTGTTAGGTGATCTCACTTCAAGATGCCCGGGGCTGGAGGAACAGGAAAATGGTTGGCCCCAAGACTCTGTTGGGAAGTGGCCCACTGCACCAACACGGACGGGGCACTCTGGATATTAGGACAAAGCAGCTCGTAAGAGGAAGCATCGCTGAGAAGGAGAGAGGAAAGTGAGGAATAAAATTATGCATTTAGACAGGCTGGAAATAAAACAAAAATATTTAAATGCATCTCATTCTCTTCTGATCCAGTATCTGCACTGGGCTGGCTTTCTGAATGCTATGAAAGTATGGAATACCCCTCACACAACACTGCGTTAACCCCACCTGTCTCTGCTCTACCTCTGAAAACCAACTCCTACCCTGCCTAGAGGAGGCTACAGGCACAGACCACAATGAAAAACATTCAGTGTTTACCAGTGTAGGACAGTTAGTTAGTGAACTGCAGAATTCAACTTCTATTAAATCCAGTTACAAGTAACACATTCTTATGCTTAAATAAGATTTGACTGATATCAGTACTGCTGTTTATAAGTACTGTTAAATATATCAGCTATCAAGTAGCTAATCCCTCAATGGTTCACTGACAGCTGTAGACTAGCTCCAAGGTACAACCTAAAACATATTCTAGTTTTAGGAACTGTGTATGCATTTCAATTGTGTGTGCACACATACTCCAACTGGCTCACCTGTCTCCATTTGTTGTGATTGAATCAAACTTGGATTTTTTCTTTGGGATTTCATTTTGAATTGAAGATGTAGAAAGTGTTTTCTGGCTTTTAATGGCAAAAATAGAGAAATACATGTTAGAAATCAAAGATTAATAAGATACCATAATGAAAGTCTGTCTATTGAACCAATATAAGATAGTAGCTTTTCTGTGCAAGACCTTATTTTCTTTTTCTTTCTTTCCTTTTTTTTTTAACATATTATATCAGTACAATGCTAGAGAGTTCTACAGATCTTTATTATGAAGATTTTTTTTTAATATTTATTTTTTAGTTCTCGGCGGACACAACATCTTTGTTGGTATGTGGTGCTGAGGATCCAACCCGGGCAGCACGCATGCCAGGCGAGCGTGCTACCGCTTGAGCCACATCCCCAGCCCTCTTTTCTTTCTTTCTGGGATTGAACCAAAGGCCTCAGATATGCTGGGCAAGTACTCTATCACTAAGCTACAACCCTGATCCTTTTTACATTTTGAAACAGTCTCCTAGTTGGCCCAATGGTGCACACCTGTAGTCTCAGCACCTCAGGAAGCTGAGGCAGGAGGATCACAAGTTTAAGCCAAGCCTCAGCAACCAAATGAGCCAAGTGAGACCCTAAGCAACTGAACAAGACTCTCAAAAAAAAAAAAAAAAGGGCTGGGGATGTGGTTCAGTAAGCACTCCTGGGTTCAATCCCTAGTACCAAAAACAAAAACAAAAGAAGAGAAAAGAAACAAGGTCTCCCTAAGATTCCCAGGCTGTCCTTGAACTTGCAATTCTGCTTCCTATTCTAGAGTAACTGGGATTGTAGGCATGTGCCAACATGACTCAGATAAGGTTCTTATCTGAACTTCTCTTATCTGAACTCTTGCAAAAATGCTTCTTAAGTAGCCCCCAGACCTTTTTACTTCTGATGCTTCTCCACCAATCAAGGTTGTTTTTAATGCAGATTTAGTCTCTCCCATGCACAGATCTCTTCAGTGGCTTCCTACTAACCCAACTTCACACTCCTTTATCAGATCTGCATGATCCTTTTTCCTTCCATTCCCCAGCTCGCAATCACAAGCTCCAGCAGAGTAAAAGGACTTCAAATTCTTTGTAAATGCTATTCCTTTAGCCTAGGATGCCACTGCCCAGTCTTATCTGATGATCCAACTCATCCCAAGATCCAGTTACCTAACAGCTCTTCTCTAAGCTTGCCATGCCTTGTTTCCTGAGATGGTTAATTATTACTGCCTCCCATACTTGTATCTTGATATGTTCCCACTGTGGTGCCCTTCACATTAGGCTGCAATAATTTGATTACAAGTCTGTCTTCTCTACCAGACTGCATACTCTTGGAGAGCAGCATGACTCTTTTGTTCACCTCTATATGCCCAGCAGAACCCCTGGTCCATTAGAGTACTTAATGTCTGGTGAATAAACAAAGTCATGAGGGTAATAATAAAAAATAACTAAAATATATTGAATACTTCCTATGTGCCAGTTATAAAACTAATCACTGTGCATGCACTATATAATTTATCTTTACAACAACCCCATGAGGTAATACTATTATTTCTTTTATTTTACAGATGAGAAAACTTGCCCAAGATACCCATAGAAAACTTGGCAGAGCCAGGATTCAATCCAGAGCCACAGATCTTAACACTACTACAGATACTCTGACAGGAAGGTTAAGGCATCAATGGAAGAACATTTTTTGACTGGATTTCACTCTAACAAATCTAGAATATCTATCACTCTCCTGGCCAAATACACATTTTAAAAGCTGTGTCCCTCAGGAAGTGAAATGTCTTTTAAAGAAAAAAAAAAAAAAATCCAAAGGATGACGAGAACACTACACATGGAGTAAGTTCCACAAAACTTTAAGACACAATACAAAGTCAGAAAATTCTGACACCTTAAAGTGCACCAAATGCAGTGGGACACACCTGTAAGCTACTCAGGAGGCTGAAGCAAGAGGACTGCAGGTTTTAAGGCCAACCTGGATAACTCAGCGAGATCCTGTCTTAAACAATAAATATATAAAAAGGGCTGGAGATGTAACTCAGTGGTAGAGAACCTCTGGGTTCAATCCCTAGTGTTTTTTGTTTTGTTTTGTTTTGTTTTGGTTTTTGAGAGAGAGAGAGAATTTTTTTTTTTTGAAATTTTTAATATTTATTTTTTAGTTCTCGGCGGACACAACATCTTTATTGGTATGTGGTGCTGAGGATTGAACCCGGGCCGCACGCATGCCAGGCGAGCGTGCTACCGCTTGAGCCACATCCCCAGCCTGAGAGAGAGAGAATTTTTAATATTTATTTTTTAGTTTTTGGCGGACATTGTTTGTATGTGGTGTTGAGGATCGAACCGGGGCCGCATGCATGCCAGGCGAGCGCGCTACCGCTTGAGCCACATCCCCAGCCCATGTTTTTTGTTTAAAAAAAAAAAAAAAAAGAAAGAAAGAAATCAATCTCCCTGGCTCTTGGAAGATACAGGAATTATAAAATATGACAAATGGGATTCTTCCTACAGGCTTGTCACCAAAGAGAAAATGGGAAAACTTATACAACACAATATCTTCCCTAACTGCCCAACGTCTCACCTACCTAGCACTTTTAGTCCTATCTCATGCACCTGGGGTTACCTGTTATAATGGCTACCACCACTCAGGCGGCTGTATTGTTCCTTCTCCTGGTGGCCTGCACGAGAAGAGCTGCTCAGGTGCTTCCTTTGCTCTTTGGTCTTCTGGAGAACACGTTTGTATGAAAGTGTGCACAACCAGCACAGCAATTTCCCATCTACCTGAAAGACAAGGAGACAAAGATAAAGAATAGGAAATGTAGTGCAGTGACTGAGAATATGGGCACTAGGAATTAGAACCCCTGGGTTAAGTTCCAGCTCTCTCACTTGTCAGCTGTGTAACTTTGGGCAAGTCACAGAGGGCTGCTACAAGGATTTAGTAAAATAATGTACATAAAACACTTAGCATGGTGCCAACATAAAAGTTGTTTAGTAAAAACAGCCTCTATTTTATTCCTGCTTATTTTGTTTTTCTTCATCTTAGCAAACACAGACCAGAGCAAAGGTCCCACAAGAATTTCAAAAGACAGATGTTTCCATGGTGCTCTTTATGGAAAACTCAGCAGGGAGAAGGTAGAAGATGAAACAAAGTTTATACTTCACTTTTTAAATGGACAAATAAAAATTGTATGTATTTTCATGTATAACATGTATTTCTTTTGTGTGTGTGTGATGTTGGGGATCGAAGCAAGGCCTTGTGCTAAAAAGGCAAGCACTCTACCAATTGAGCTATATCCCTAGCCCCAACATATAGTCTTGAAATGTATAGAAATTGTGAAATGGCTACATCAAACTAATTAACAGGCCTTACCTTACCTTTTTTTTTTTTTTGGTGTGTGGGGGGATACCAGGGATTGAACTGAGCCACACCCCAGCCCAATTTTGTATTTTATTTAGAGACAGGGTCTCATTGAATTACTTAGCGCCTCGCTTTTACTGAGGCTGGCTTTGAACTCTAGATCTTCCTGTCTCAACCTCCCAACCTGCTGGGATTACAGATATGCACCACTGCTCCCGGCTACCTTACTTTTTTTTTTTTTTTTTGTGTGTGTGTGTGTGTGTGTGTGAGAACACTTACATCTAGCAGGACATGGTAGTGCATGCCTATAATCCTAATGAGTTGGAAGACTGAGGCAAGAGGATTGAAAGTTCAAATCCAGCCTCAGATACTTAGCATGGCCCTTAGCAACTTAAGGAGACCCGTCTCAGAAAATAAAAAGGGCTAGGGTTGTATCTCAGTGGTAAAGCACCCCTGGTTTCAATCTCCAGTACCAAAGACAAACACAAACAAAAACTAAAAAAATCTCTCTTAGCAATCTTCAAGAATACAACTCATTATTAACTATACTCACCATATTGTACAATATATCTCTTAAACTTATTCTCCCTAAATGAAATTTTATAACAGATTATCATGTACCCAAACTCTCCCATACTTCAGTTTTAATACATTATATAATGGCTCACAAAATGGCATACTGGATACCTTCTCTGAGATGGAAATAATTTCCCCAGAGAAAGATGCATGGATGTGTAGCTTCCAGACACCAGTCCCTGGTGGCAGCCTTCCATTGCACAGTCTAAACTAGATAATGTTGATTCCTTTAAACAGAAGCAGCTGTGCACCAGAGAGCCAGACACAAACTAGGAAAGCAGAATGACTTCCACCACCCTCTGAAGCTGGGGTGCCTTTGTGGAGCATTTGGAATGCAAAGCCCTTTGTGTAGAGCTGGGTGTAATTACTCAGGTACCTGATATTTTATAGAATTTTATAGCCTGTATTTACAATTGCTAAAATTAGATCATATGCACCATCTCGAACAAGGGTTTGTTACATCACTGTTCTCTAACTCATCAGCAATTCATCAGTCTGAAACTATCCTCTTCCTTCTAACTCCACTACTTCCATTTTACACCATTCTCATCTGTCACTACTTCAAGAGCCATTCAAAGGACCAACCTACTTCTCATTCCTGGGGCCTTGTGAACTATTTCTTCATAGCAGCCGATGAGGGCTTCATAAATGTAAATGTGATTGCATACTCTTTCCTTAAAATCCAAGATTTTCTCGTCTATTATAAAATCCAAACTTTACCATGGCTAATGTGATTTAAATGCAGCCTCTACCTAGTCTATAACAACTTCATTTTCTTTCTCTTCCCTTTATTCACCCTGCCTTCTGTTCTCCCCAAGTGCCAAGTTCATTTTTGCTTTAAGGTCTTTGCACAGTTGGTGTCTCTTCCAGGAACCTTTGCCCTCGAGAGAGTGCCTACTGTCTTCTCATCATTTTAGTTTCAACTCAAATGTCATCTCCTGATTGTCCAATTTAGGTGGAAACCTCACTGACTTTCTACCAGGTACTCTAAAATTTGTGCTTATTTATGTCCTTCTTTGTTTTCATCCATCTCTCTCTGATACACAAGAATATAAAGTCTGTGGCTCAGCAGTGGAGTGCTTGCCTAGCATGCTTGAAGCACTGGGTTTGATCCTCAGCACCGTATAAAAATAAAATAAAGGTATTGTGTCCACCTATATCTAAAATAAATAAATAAACTTAAAAAAAAGAATATAAAGTCTGTGAGAATAAGGTCTTATTTATTTAGTTCATTAGTATATTTCCAATACCTAGAATTGAGTCTGGTAGATGATAGGTATTTAATTATTTGTTTTTTTTTTTGAGGGGGGGGAGAGAGAGAGAGAATTTTTTAATATTTATTTTTTAGTTCTCGGCGGATACAACATCTTTGTTTGTATGTGGTGCTGAGGATCGAACCTGGGCTGCACGCATGCCAGGCGAACGAGCTACCGCTTGAGCCACATCCCCAGCCCTTAATTATTTGTTTATAAATATACAAATGCACTTTGAAAAAAACTTTGATCTAGTTTATGCCATAGTTATGGGACATGATCTGAAAGCCTGATTTTAAAACACAATAGAAGGGCTGGGGATGTGGCTCAAGCGCCTGGCATGCGTGCAGCCCAGGTTCGATCCTCAGCACCACATACAAACAAAGATGTTGTATCCGCCGAGAACTAAAAAATAAATATTAAAAAATTCCCCCTCTCTCTCTAAAAAAAAAAAAAAAAAAACAGTATTGCTGATAAATAATAAAGAAATAATTTTTTAAAAAATAAATAAATAAAATAAAACACAATAGAAGACTCTGGCCAGGAAAGAATTTAACAAAGGATTATTTTTTTTAATTTTTATTTTAGTTGTAGATGGACACAATATCTTTATTTATTTTTATGTAGTACTGAGGATCGAACCTAGTGCCTCACACATGCAAGGCAAACACTCTACCACTGAGCCATGACCCTACCCCCTCAACAAAGGATTAAAAAAAAAAAATGCAATTCCACTGAAAGAAAATAAGTATTGAACATGAAACTGCACAGAGAACCAAGGATAAATCTTTCCTTTAAAAATAATCTTAGGGGCTGGGGATGTGGCTCAAACGGTAGCACGCTAGCCTGGCATGCCTGTGGCCCGGGTCCGATCCTCAGCACCACATACAAACAAAGATGTTGTGTCCACCAAATACTAAAAAAAGAAATATTAAAATTCTCTCTCTCACTCTCTCTTTAAAAAAAAATTTTTAAATAAATAAAAATAAAAATAAACAAGGAATGGTGATGCATGCCTGTAATCCCAGCACCTCAAGAGGTTGAGACAGGAGGATTGAGAGTTCAAAGCCAGCCTCAGCAACAGCAAGGCACTAAGCAACTCAGTAAGATCCTGTCTCTAAACAAAATAGGGCTGGGGATGTGGCTCGGTGGCCAAGTGCTCCCGAGTTCAAGCCCTGGCATCCCCAAAATAAATAAGTAAATAAACTTTAAACATAAAAGATAATCTTGAGAATTAAAATATCAAAAACAAATTATTGTCAGTTGTGGTGGTGCATGCCTGTAATCCCAGCTACTTGGGAGGTTGAGGTAGAAAGATTACAAGTTTGAAGACAGCCTAGGAATCTTAGCCAGACTTTGTCTCAAAATAAAAAAATGAAAAGGGCTGTGGATGTAGTTCAGTGAGCACTGACTTAGCATATACTAGGTTCTGGGGTCAATTCCCAGCACCTATATATACATATACAAAACACTGATTGAGCACTTAATTCGTATCAGATTCCATTAAGGGACTTAGACATAATAATTCATCCTTTCTAACACCACTGAGGTCTGATCATCTGCATTTACAGATAAGAAAACCGAAACATGAATAGATTAAGCTGTCCAATTTCATATAACTAATTGTGAGACCCCGTCTCTAAATAAATACAAAATGCATTCTGAGTCTGAATGATCCATTCTATGGTTGTATGTGTATGTGTTGCTGAGGATCAAACCCAGAGCCTTGTGCATGCTAGGCAAGTACTCTATCAATAGATTACATCCCCAGCCACAAAGCACCCTCTCTTAATCCCTGAGTTTAGCCTTCTCTATTTTTTTTTTTTTTTTTTGGAGATAGGATCTCACTACTATGTTTCCCAGGCTGTTCTTAAGCTTGTGATTTTTCCAGTCTTAGTCTCCATCTTAGGCCATGCCATGATGCCCAGTGGATGTCTCAAAAGTTTTTGAGTATGTCTAAAAATATCCCAAACACTTGGGATTGTAACAAGTAGAAACTTAAGGAACTCTAGTATAAACAGATTTTTTAAATTAGCTATACTAATTAATATTAATACAGGTACCATTTATTGAGTTATAGTACGTGTCAGCTCAAAATTGTTTTATATAACTATCTCATTAAATATCTCCATGCCCCAAGTGAAGTATCTACTTTTATTCCTGTTGAGAAAAATAAAGAAATTGATGCATAATTAGAATAAATTTCCAAGGTTCATTTAGCTAGCTCCAGGAGTAAGAAGGGACTCAGATGTGGGGGACTGCAAAGCTTGCATTATTGCCTAGACCTGGGCAGCATACAGTTATAAACTACCTCTTGATTACTAATTCAGCTTCTCCAGTATCTTTTTTTTTTTTTTTTAAGAGAGTGAGAGGGCAGAGAGAGAGAGAGAGAGAGAGAATTTTTATTATTTATT